AATTATATATAGAAACAATTTTTTTTTATACATTAACACAAATTCATAAGACTAGTTACATTAAGCTGTATCATCTAAGAAAAGGAAGAGTGCCACAATGCTATAATGTTTTGTTTATTTATTTATTTTTAAAATAGGAAACTTACAAATTTTAACTTATTCAAATTTTAACAAGCATTACATAAGCCATAAAACACGCCCTCTGTAGCTGCATGTGCTGTGGAGTAATTAACTCTCAAATGTTCACAGCTGAAGCCTTTCTGTGGGCCATCTCAACTCTTCTTGCTCTCCCTACCAGCAGTGAAGTGAAGTACTATGCAAGCTCTGACTTAATCTAGAATGTTGTTGCATTGGTCGTTCCTCAGCTACACTTTGCTGTTTGTTACTAATGTGAACTGCCTTACTGGCAAGCAAGGTGTGGCATAGCAGGTGTTGCGCGAAAGGCCAAAGAGTCGACTTCCTAATTTGAAGTAAAGTTTAGTCTGCTTATATTGTGCCTTCCCTCGCTACTTATTTCCTCATCATCATCAACATGCTAATGACATTTTGAAATAAGATGTTTATGTTTTAAGTATTTTAGACTGGTGATATTATCACTGGGTCTCTATGCTTCTCAGTTCAATGCAGGCAGATGACTGGTGAGAGATCTGCCTTGATGGGCAGATGTCAATCTGGAGGAGTGCATGCTCTTGGGTGGACTCTATTTGCATGCAGACCATCCTAGGTAACACCCACATGTGATGCTAAGTCCGTGATTGAAAGAACTGAAATCCAATGAATAAAAGGGGCAGGCCAAGGGCAGTCAGGCTGGGGACAGACTCTATGCAACGTTCTGCATATTGTGAGAAGCTCACAGTGTACAGTGATATCAGAGTAAGCAATTGCAGTCCAGTAGAGGAGCTTTTACAACTGTGCAAGACTGAAGGTAAGGCTTGAGTTTAGCTTAAGTCAGTATATATATAATAGAGTGGTGCATGTTTTGGACGGGGTTATTAGAGCAAGGTAAATTCAGGAACCTCTGAGAGCAAATTTATTTGCAGTTTGTTTTACATATGGACTCATGCATATAGATATCTATCACTAAGCCCATGGGTAAAACGCGTCAGTGGTGTGCAGTTTGGAGGCGAGGACGGTCTCATTCTTTTTACTAGAGTTGAATAAAGTTTTATCATCAGTGACATCAGCGATGTGCGGGAGTCACAGGTGTTGCGCACAGCTGCCTGTACAAATCAATAGCACGGTGCGGCTATACACTAGTTTTTGTCTCTCTCAGTGAACGGTGGCCACAGAGGATCCTCCCGCAGTACCACATCTTCCTACACTCGAAGGGCTGCTCATTAAAGAGATCAGGGATTCCCATCACATGCAGAAAAGACATTCAAAAAAACAGAGCGCCGCCTCATGTGTAAAACTCATAAAGTGAATAAAAACAGGTATACATACTCACAAAGGTGGAGTTTTCAGAACGTCTTAGTCAGCCACATTGATTACTTTCCTTGACTGACAGTGTGGCTGATTAAGGCCCACTAAAAACTCAATTTTTGTGAGTATGTATACCTGTTTTTATTTACACATGGAGGCGGTGCTATGTTTTTTATGTCTTTTCTGCGGCTATACACTTGTGAACGCTGCTCTGAACGTACTGTATATATGTACACAGGTATGGATGTACGTCCCAGGACGCAGACTGCATACATTTCTACCTGTACGCATGTATACACTCAGATCAGCGCTTACCATTGTGCCCATGTGCATGAACCCTGAAAAAATGTTCTTTTTGTTTTAGCCCTGAACACAATCAATTACGTGCAAATACAATATATACAGTGACTGTCATCTCCTCTGGATGTTTATCAGTTTTCACTATGAATGGAAGGCATACGACTCCTTTCTAGAAAGAAAAGCCATTTCCTTGTGAATGATGTCAGAAGCAGTAATGTGTTGGGACATTAATTATGTTTCTGTGGCAGTATTCCTCATCCTCCTAAACTAGGCGGATTAGGGCTTTTCCTTTATGTTTTATTCCAGATATGTTAAACATAGCCCGGGGGGTGCACACGCAGCGCTGATCTTCACTTTGATTTCAATTAGCAGCACATCCTGCTCACTGACTCACTGACGACGTCTCTCTCTGTGATTTACATATGTGTGTGTGTGTGTAGTATATGTTTATCCAGAGAAAGCAGACCACAATAATACATGATCTCTACATCCTATCAAATACAATTTACTGACTGTGACCAGCGCAGCCTCCTGGAGGAGTGAACTTCCCACAAGAAAATGATTCGCAATAGTGATAAAATAAAATCTTGATACATTTATTTATTATTATTTCTCCTTTCCTTAGAGGAAATAAGATTCATGAAAGGCAACAAAAGCACATTTGCATTCAGACACTAGTAACATTAGGGGCCCATAATAATATTTAGCAACTTGTGTCTCTGAACTGTGTCAGTGCCGTCCATTTATTCCCACCAATCAAAGTCATCCATTAGGAGCAAGGATGTGATTGACGATGTTGAAAGCAAAAAAAAAAGTTGAAAAAAACAAACAAGATACAAATGAATGGCCCATTAAAAGATAATTAAACAAAAAACAGCTTTTGTTGCAATAATCACCTGCAATCCAGAGATTTCCCTGCAGTATCTATTTTTGCCACCAGATGCCCTCATCCTGATGGCAGTATCTTTCAACCCACTTCCTCCACTTCCACATCATCCTGCACCTGCCCCAGACTGTGACTGCACAGTGAATGGAGAAGCAGCACAGTGATCAGCTCATTTTTCTGTCACTTTGCTTTCTGCTTCTATCAGTATGTTTCTTGTCAGTCGTCATTGGCTCCTTGCGCTGCTTCTTCCTCTCACATTCTAACCCTGTTGTACAGACACTGTGAGAGGCTGATACCGGGTCAAATTCAGGTACTTACACTTAAAGAATACATTTAATGAATTTTAAATGATTACAGGGCTGCATTAATTTATTCCTTTTATATCTGCCTGGAGAAAATGAATTGTTACACATGAGGCGCATAACTGTGTCATAGAGCACACCACCAATGTTACTGTTATTTCTGAATGTATGTAGTCATTGCCGAGTAATCATCAGTGGGAAATCATTGGTTTTAGGACCATATCTCGGACAGTCACCTGTCAGCTGCAAAGGATCGGGCCTTCCGACAGCATGTTATTACTCAGTGTTTGGGTGCTGCAGTGTTGTATTTAACATGAATGCCCCCAAATAGAACTGATGATTTCATTGTTACATTTAACAGTATGCAGCCAGCTCAGTGAAAATATGTGACTTAGTCTAAAGTGAGTGCTGAAGAATCCTACCGCACTCCCTACTGGTATGTCCCTTGCGGCGGGTGCTGTACTGTAGTGACTGCGGATGGCGCCGCTCAGATCCAAATACTAAGTATGTCACCAGCACACCATAGTTCAATCTTCAAGCAGTGATCATTTGACAGTGACAAGATTGTATGTGCATCAATATAATGATCACTGCTTGAAGATTGAACCATGGTGTGCTGTTTAGATACAGACATTCCTCGCTTACCGACTTACCTGCTTTGCGACCACTCGCACTTACGACCGACCTCCGACCTTACGTGTCAGCGTCAGTGCGACGTCTCGCCGGCGGAAGGGATGTCCTCCGTTCTTCACTGCGGGTCGCGGTAAGTATCTTATTGCCCGATGTACAGTACACTGTTCAGTACTGTACATCTGCAAAACTATACAGTTCTGTACTAATGCAGTACAGTACTGTATAGAGTTCCTCACTTAACGACCAATCCGTTTAACAACCTGGTCGTAGGAACGGAACTCGGTCGTTAAGTGAGGAATACCTGTACTTTACTATTTGTCCAAAGTGAGATCACTTGGGCTTGGATGAAGAACTGCTGTCGGTAAGTGCTGTCTTCAGGCAGTGTTTTGCCCCACATTTAAATGGAAGAAAAATGGCAGCAGGTGCTATGATGAGTAAAAATGTGAAATATTTGGCTTTAGCAGGAGACAGTTTGTTTGGAGGTCTGGAGAGCGGTACAAAAATGAGTGTCTGCAGGAACAGTGAAGCATGGTGGAGGTTTCTTGCGAGTCTGGGGCTGCATTTACAGTATGTCAATGGAGTTGGAGATTTGATCAGGATCAATGTTGTCCTCAATGCTGAGAAATCTGTGGTTAGTTCTCCAAGATGTCTGCCTGCCGAGTTCCTTCAAAAACTGTGTGTAAGTGTACCTAGGAGAATTGAAGGCAAAGTATGGTCACGCCAAATATTGATTTGATTTGGATTTCTCTTCTGTTCATTTACTTTCCATTTTGTTAATTGATAAAAAAAATTAACTATTAACACTTTATTTATGAAAGCATTCTTACTTTACAGCTTCTTTTCACACCTGCCTAAAACTTTTGCACAGTACTGTGTATTTGCAAGCCGTAAAATGCACGTGTGTAAATATGCAGAAGTTGGTCTGGCAGCAAAAGGGTTAATGGGGCTGGGCACTAATCTGTGCTGTCCATTCTAATTAATATTGTTGTTTTTTCTAGGTCCATGACCAACTATCTATGAAGCAACTAGTCCAGAAAGTCACAGAAGATGAACTGAACCTGGCAGAAACCCCACAAAAATATCTGAAGCGCATTCTTCAACAAAACGGATATCAAAAGGACATCGAGAAAAAAGTGCTGAGCTACCTTAATTACAACAGTAACCACCTGTCCATGTTTGCAAGGCCTGGGATTGTTTAGTCTTCTGCTTCTGAGCAAACAAGAGTCTTCGGACTGTATCCACAATGGTCTAATAAATGATTTATTACCAGGCATTCTACAGGGTGTCCTGCGGGGGGCAGTACTGCCCATTCCTCCTTACCCAAACAAACAGCACAAAATCAATTAAACAAACACTAATAAAGCCTACTTGTGTTTTCTTCATGTTGTCTATCATTTGGTGTTGTGTGTCAATGATTGTAGTGTCCATTTTCCATCTTCTCCGAAATTAAGGGGAAATGAGATGCATAAAATCAGCATACTTAGTCCGGATTTCATGTATGAGATTTAACAACAGGTGCACAAGCTAATTTGTAGTCACATGTACTTTTACACTTGAATGCTTTATTTATGATTGCATCTAAGTTCATTGTGGTTTCAAATGCTTCAATATGTGATTGAAACTATGTATATCAGATGTGTTTATACAGATGTACTGAGTGACCTTTATAGGTGATGTATAGCCAACTTATGTCACTATACAAAATAATTATGATAATGTAATA